AAGCAGAGTGTCTTTGGGTGTGAGACACATTGCACAAAGCCACTCTGGTTGGGATTTAATATTCAACTTACAAGCTAAATGTCCCGTGTAGAATTAATGCTTTGCTACCACTGAATTACAGCCCTGGTTTGAGTTAACCTTTGCTTTCCAGACCCACCCTAACAGCAGTGGACTTTATTTGCTGCAATATTCTGCTCAAGATGCTCAAATGCCACCAGTCCTTGGCTCCTTTCCCGGGCTACTGGATGGTTCAAGGGACTGAACTGCTGCGTATTTTTAAACAACAAAACACCCCCCTCATGCAACAACAGCAACAACAAAACAAACTCTATACCTGCAATAAATATTTTCAAAGTTTCATCAATTTCTGTTTTCAAGGAGATCCAAAAGTATTTAATGATTTGTGTCTTCAGGGCAAGACAAATCTTGCTCACAGTGATGTTTCACGTGGTCTCATGTTGTTGCCAGCAAACTCTGCCTAAAATGGCTTGTACTAGCCAGGGATTTTATGTTCTGTAGTAATTCAAATGGTTACCTACAGCTGCCTTCAGTTTGTTGTACTGACAGTTATAGTGGCTTTTATCTGTCGAGAAATATTGTTGATTTTTTTATTTTTATTTCTTTAAAAAAGTGGCAGTGGTGAATTCTAGCGATAAAGTTTCATGACGCTTGAATGAATAGCTGTTAAGATATTTCTCATTGAATTATGAGTATATCACTTGAAGATACTCAGCTTTAGTAAGCCTCAATATGTGTAAGGACAGAGTTATTTCTTTTCACCCAAGTGTGATGCAAACCAGCTGAACTACAGAACTCACTGGAGACTTCAATTCTTCAAATGCTTGCTATTTCCAAACAGAGAGGAGACCATTCAGTGCTGGTTTTACTGCTCTTGTTCATTCTGTGCATTCAGAGTTGAAGAGAACAAGGTAGTGTGAGGGACTTGCAGGGCAGGAGAAGGGAATGAAGGCCTGGAGGAAGCTCCACTATCGTTTATTTTTTGTTGTCTGTGTGATTTGTGTAAGGTCATGGCAGCTGAACAGCTGAGGAGCAAAGAGCTATGATCTGACCCCTGACTGCTCCAACCTCACTTCTTGCATGCAGGGGAGAGTCATGTATTTTTAAAATGCTCCCCCTTTTTAGTTGAAGTTGAATAATAAAAGAACAGGGGCAGATACGAGAGTTATCTACTGTCAGACTTGGATTTTCATTTTCTGATTGCCTGCTCTTCTCAAAACCAGCATCCATTCCTGCTGTTCCAAAAGGTTTCAGCAGGAGAGTTTGGGAGAGCTGTGTTGTACCTGCTGAGGAAATCACTCCTGGCATCTGGGCTAGACTTTCTGCTCCTTGGATCTATTCTTTGCATACATTGCATGTTATAATTTAATTATAAGTTCTGGACTTGTTGCTGCAGTGAGGGAAACACTAACCCTTTGTTCTGCTTGAACAAAGGAAACTCAAAACAATTTACAGCACTTCAGTGTAATTAAATACTCATTATGGTGCTAACAATTCAAGGAGATTGGCACCACGTGTCTTTTCTTAAATAGGAGCAGCAGGGATAATTGTGTTGAGGCTATTAATTTGCTATTTTCTTTACAAAAATAACAGGCTGAGATTTCTGGATGGCTCGAGGAGGTGTCTCTGATATTTGGAAGCGTTCAGAAAACCCTGAGCATTGACTTGCTGCAGGGAGCTCCAGGAAACTGGTCCTGAGAAGAGCAACGAGGCTGGTGAAGGGACTGGAGCACAAGTCCAATGAGGAGAGGCTGAGGGAGCTGGGGTTGTTTAGTCTGGAGAAGAGGAGGCTCAGGGGTGACCTCATCACTCTCAACAACTACCTGAGAGGAGGTTGTAGCCAGGTGGGGGTCGATCTCTTCTCCCAGGCAGCTCTCAGTAAGACAAGAGGGCACGGTCCCAAGCTCTGCCACGGGAGGTTTAGGTTGGATTTTAGGACGAAATTCTTTACAGAGATAGTAATCAGGCATTAGAATGGCCTGCCCAGGGAGGTGGTGGATTCTCCATCCCTGGAGGTGTTTAAGATGAGACTGGATGTGGCATCAGTGCTGTGGGCTGGGAACCACGGCAGGGTTGGATCAAGGGTTGGACTTGGTGGTCTCAGAGGTCTTTTCCAACTCGGCTGATTCTGTGATCTTTGTCTCAACCTTCACTGCGGATCGTGTTCTTGGAGGCAAAGATGTCTTTTGGTGTGTGAAACACTTTATTCACGAGAGAGAAAGTAATAACATTTATTTATGAGGAAGTTGTTCTGCAGTCAGGGAAGGACAGTGTAGGAATTGAATGGGCACATATATAAACATAACCCAAAAAGCCATAAAATAAACCTGCTTTGATTAAAGCATGAGGAAGTTTGTTTGTTGTTCTTTTGCAGTGACAAGAAAGTTAAATGACAGAGGTTTCCATTTCACAACTTTGTTTTGGTTTTCTTTTTCATCTTAAAAAAATATTTTTTATAAGGTAGTGTGTAACTTCAAAATGAGAATTAGAAATTTTTTAAGCAAAGCAAGAATTAAAATTGTTTAGGGTGTTCCTGCTTGTTTTATGAGCTTCTCTTGCTTAATCTGTTTGTAAACTCCAAGCTGAATTTGTGCCAATATCTTTCCAACCTGCGTCTGTAGTCAGTATATTAATACCTTTTATAGAGTTGAATAATAAAAGAATAGATGCAGATATGAGAGTTATCTATTGTCAAACTTATTCTGCCACTTTTTGTCTTGGTTCTCTTGCAAGTAACTCCCTATTTCAGGTCAGCTTAGAATGCCAGGACTTCTTTTGCTTTTTGAATGGGAATTTGTGAAGAGGGTGGACTTCATCCTGGGTAAAACTCCACGATATCATCTGTCAGTGATCTTAGAAGATCTTGAATGTTCAAGTA